ATTTATATATATATCTTTTCTTGTTTTCTTTATATAATAATAATAAAATATATGTTATGTGATGATACGATGATGGTGAGATTTCTTTTTTTTTGCAGAATTTAATATCATTGGTGAAATTTTAATGATAAGTTATAAATACTATTTAAGGAAGATAAGTCAAAGAGTTCTTTTTAATTTTCAAAATTAATTACTTCATAAAAAAATATATATATATACATATCGAAATAATTTGTTTTAATTATCTTAAAGGATAAAATATAATTTTTTATAATCTGTTCACAGAGTTTTAATTTGTATAATTAAAAGAAATTAATTTTCTCGTATTTACAAAATTTCATAAATATTTTGAGATATTTCATTATTTAAATTTTTATCAAAGCATTAATAAATGAACAGAATAAATTTAATATATTTAACGTGTTTGTTTCATCTCTCGCAAATCGTTTCACCGTTGTTTTTTTATTTTTTTCAATTTCAAAAATTATTCCACTTCGTTATTTTCAGGGATGCTCGAAAAAGCATTCCTCCCTCCCTCTCTAAATTTTACGGCCTGTTCTCGATCGTTCTCTTCACCAACTCGTTACTCGTGCTCCGTACACAATTAAGTTTCCGCGAGTATCTGCAAAATTTTCACGTATCTCGCATTTTTCTCCGATGCAATTAATCTCGTATGCCCTAGGGAAATGTACGATTCAGCCTGAAGTATTTTCAACATGTTTTCTCTTAGAAGTAAGGGAAAGTACATTTCAAATTGCAATTTATTCCTTTAAGAGGTCTATACCTCCTGTCTCTCCAATTTCTCTTTTTATTTACTCATTGAAAATACCTCTATTGCTTTCAGAAAATATATTTGTTCATAACAAAAACCTTCTTAATTCGAACGAATATATTTATTTAGAAATAATTTATAATAAGCACGAATTTTTTTGTTTTTGTTTTAATATCATTAAATATCATTATATATATATTTTTTATATTTATTATAGTTCGAGATACACTTGAATAATCCTCCTTAAGTTGGATTAAAATACATGCATTGCCATTTTCATGTTATCGCGAACTTTATATAATTAATTAAGCCTCGAGATAGTTTCGAAACTCTCAAATTATCGATACAATTCCTCTTCGTTTTAGATAATTATTCAGTAACCGTGAGAAGAATAAATTACTCGTAGGTCTATAAAAATAAAGGATGAAGGTGAATTTTTTTCTTCTCGATTAGGATCGTCTCTTCCTTCCATTATTATCCGTGAATTAATAATTATCGTGTTAACTATCGTGTCACATTCAAGAGATAATATCAATTTTTCGTTCTACAATTTTTTTTTTTTTACGTGATTCAATTTAACAACGTTTACTTAAATCGCATTAAAATTCAATTATTTTACGTTAGTATTAAATTTCGGTCAATCGATACGATAAAATGATAATAATATTTTTAAATTTCGCACATTATGCGCAACTCGAATTTAAATTTAATTTCGCCCTCTGTCGTCTTTCTCTGCGTATTTTAATTATTTTAATACCGTGGCTTTTGTGGGCCAGAAACCACTCAAAGCTCGAAGCTTCGACTAAAATGTTAAATGTCGTTTCAACATTTAATTCAAAATAATCGAAACGATAAAAATAAGATAATTTAATTCGATCTGAAAACAAAATTTTTCATTAAATAAATTTCGTCACGTGGAGAATAAAGAATTTTCTTTTTTAAATTTCCAAAAAAATACCAATATTACGATTAATTATAACTAAAGATAAATTTTAATCCACGATTTAAAATAAATTCAAATAATAAATCTCAAACCTCCAAAATCCTCAAATTATTAGAAAATTATAATTCGAAAAATCACTTCTAAAATAAAATAATAAATAAATAAATTTTGGAATCTCAATTTACCTTGAGAATAATCATTTCCGGCGAAACAGCATTATCCTTCTTGAAATGCTCACACCGGGTAATATTCTCGTTAGAATATCGGATCATTCGAAGGAAAAGAAGAAGAAAAAAAAAAACCTCGATACAAATGCAGACTCGATAAGTTCTGATGAATTGCAAAAAAAAAAAAAAAAAAAAAAGAGAGGAGTGGAAGATGAAGCCTGGTACGGTTGATGGAACGCTTGTACTTTCGTCTTGAAAGTGCTTGAAACCGCGCGGACTGAGCGTTTTAACGAAACGGACGTTTGGAGAAAAAAAAGAGAGAGAGAGAAAGTCAAGTGGGGTTTCGGTGCACGATAAAATTGAATTTTCAGCGATGGTTACATCCTCGACGGAACATGCAACTGGCCCGATACAAATTTATACGCCGGAATCTTGACCCAGAAATACGATGTCGTTCTTTGCTGCGCTGCACGCTGATAAATCGCACGAGAACTTGCTCGCGAGAAACGTAAATTTTAAAAGTTGTGCACGCGTTCGAAGGGAATTTATGAAGGAACGTTTGGAATTGAATTTAAACTTGGCGGAAGTTTAGAGGTAAAAATGATTCGGAAATTATGTAATTTTCGTGCGGAATTTTTGTATAATTATAACAGGTGTTTGAGTTCTGATGGATGGAAAGAGTGAGGAAAAAAAGGAAGCATGGAAAGTAGTAGTAATAATGATATAATAATTTCAATTTAAATGAAACAATTATCTTTAAAAATAATTTACTTATATTTTTTTATTTGTAAGTAATTACAATTAAAGAAATATTGCATGATTTATTTTATTTTGGTGAAATATTTAAAAAAAATTTTCTTCGCAATTATTCAAACTATCTTTTCTTTCCCTCTCTCTTTTTTTTTTTTCGACAAAAATTCAGTTCAATCCTCGTAGGTCATCCCCTACTTAATTGCTCGATGCAAATGCATTTTTAACGAGGCTAATTGAACTTAAATAATATATTAACGCCTCGTGGATACGTTTTGATCTTGAAACTTTCCTTCTCCCATCGAGATTTCCCGCGGAATTGCATTATTTAACCAAACTTGCGCCAAAGTTAACGATACACTTGCGCCATCTTGATCAGCCTAAATTCGCCTTTCCTCACTAGTTGTTCTGTCCTACACAATTAGCGCACTCCCGGGAAATCAGCGTGCTAATGCGCCACCTTTAACGAGTTTGTCTCTCGTTAAACCCCCCTTTTTCCCTGCCTTTGCATCGATTTAATCCGTCACCTAGTTTCCCATTCAGGAATTTCTAAGTTTTCCAAAGTTTCAAATTGAAAAAAGGAAAAATTAAAAGGAAAAGGATTTTGGTAATTTCCTTTTTTAAGCGGAATTTGCGAAATTTTCAAAAGTGATTTCAGTTTCAGAGAATTTTGTAAATGGACAGTGATGCGTAAAGACTTTGGTTTTTCCATCAATAAAAAGATTATGCAGGAAAAAAGATTACGAATTATAAAATCTTCTAATTGATATCAATAACTCTGTTTTTTTTCATTTTTAAAAAAATTCCTCGTTTCGAATTAATCTTCAAAGAGATCTTGTATTTCATAAAGTATAAATAAAACTAGATCACAATCCTATAATTAACTTGATTGTTCTCGATGGGATTGTAACCGTTTATTTTTTTACTTTCCTTTGTTATTCGATAATAAAAAAGAATCTCTCTTATACATCCTTTCGCGACTGATACGTGGAACGCGTCATACGATTCAAAAATTTCATGTCACGAACTCGTTGGCGCGAAACAAACCGTGAAAGTACGAGGGGTGGCTTGGTCGAGGGCGTGATTCGACATATTCTTCCCCCTCGGCATACGATCGCGAGGAACGAGGTGAAATATCTCGTCGATTTACGACGCTAGGTTGAACAGGTTATATGTAAACGACGAATCGATGAGAGATCAATCTTAACGAAACGAATTTACGAGGCTACAGGCAACCGTGAATGAAATATTTCATTTTTCCATCATTTTTTCTTCATTTTCTGTCCTCCATTAATGATCATCGCGATGTTTCACACGTGTGTTCAAATTATTCTCTTCTTTTTTTTTGTTTCATTTATATTTTTCATTTTTTCTTATTATTTTCGATCGTTCTAATTTATTCTTTTTCTCTCTCTCGTTTTTCTCGACTTTTTTTTTTATTTTTTGCTTTCAAATTCGATCTCTATTGTTTTTCTTTCTTCTTATCTTTATTTTTCGTTTTAGATTTTTTTTGTTGTATTTAAATTTAGTTTGGATCATGTATCGATTTCATTTTCAGATAATTTTCTACAGAAAATTTTTTTTTAATGAGAATTAAATTTTCATTTGATTTATCTTGAGAGATATAGGGGTGAACAAAAATTTAAAAAGAGGGGGATGGTGGTTTCAGGACATTAAAGAGTTATAGGAACGAGAAAAAAGATGGTATAGAGGGTGGTGCTTCGTGGCACTGATAAATTTACAGCGTGAGCTGTTTGATACAAGCAATTTCACGATGGAGAAAATGGGGTTAGAATACTTTAAGCTTCGTTCCGTTTCGAACGGTGAAAAATTGTACTCGAAAAGAGTATCTATCGCGTGTTAAATCTTTCATTTGTTTGTTTTTTTTTGCTAAAAAAATATTTTTTTCTTCGCCTTTTTATTTGTCTTTTCTTTCTTGAAATCCCTTAATCAGAATTGTTTCTTAAAATTGAATAAGTAATAGAAAAATTCTTTTAAATCAAAAAATTAGAAATGAAATAAATTGAAATAGATTAATTAGAATTATTTCTGAAACTTATATTATTTCTAAAATATAATTGTGTCATTATTTTTAGACAAATTAATTTTACATTTATTTTACTTCTTCGTAAAATTTAATATAATTTCTTCCATAATTTCTCTTGGAAAAAAAATTAAGAAAGTAAATTACTTGATTTAGAATTCAGACTAATTTTATTCGTATTGTAAAATATACAAATCCAACATAGAATATCTAAAAATAATTTCATACATACTTTCTTTTTTTTTGTATGCAACCAATTTACCCGCAGACACTGTTATTTAATAAATTTTTCTATTATTCTCAGTATTTCCGCCTTCATAAATATCCACCCCCATAATTTCACTTTATCTCTTCATTTACTGCACCCACAGTGCAAAAATTCATTTTCTCCGTGGAAAGGAAGATCGCTGAGGTTGATTCTTTATAAACCTGTCTGATACATATCTTTCTTTGTGAACGAAAATAAGTAAATCGCGAATCCTCTTGAAGGAAAAAAAAAAAAGAAATTTAAAACTTCTCGCTTTCGACGAGATTCATTTTTCTACTTTATGTTGAGTAATTTTTTTTTCCTCTTTTTCTCTCTCTCTTTCTCTCTCTTCTACTAAAGTAGAAGTTGTACGACTCTTGAGCAATTTCTTTTTTTTTTTGACACTCCGTACATGAATGACGAAGCGAGAACTCGTGAAAACAGATTCTAGTTGGAGAATTTTTCGACACCAACGAATGTTTTCTTAATTTCGTTCTTTTTATTTATTTTATTTATTGAGAAAATTTATTTGAGACGAAGTTCGGATGACAATAATTTTAGTCTATCTAATATAATATTCAAGTTTTCTTATATTTTTTTTTTCGAAATTTTTAGATTCCAATACTTTCAAAATATAGAGCAGAATAAAAATTAAAAAAAGAGGATAAAGTATAGTATTTTTTTTTGTTTTTATTAAATAAAAAGATATTAGTATTTTATTTAAATTTTGGATATCAAAGAAAATTGAATTAAATGATTAAAAACTTAAAATTTTTTTTTGAAAAAACTCATTTAAAAAAAAATTGAACGCAAATAAAAAAAATTAAATAGATAAATTTTATTGTAATAATTCTTTTTGATTATAATTTCGAAGGAACAGATATATATTATCGCGAGTTATTTGCATATTGGATTATCGATTAATGAACGTAATTAAATGGGGTTTGTACGAGTGTGGTCTAGCGAATGCGCATTGGCATATTGATGCAGGTGCGAAGATTCGATTATTGGGACAGAAACAAAAACAGAATAATTCACGAGCATTCGCAATCAATAATTTATAATAATTTAAAGTTTTTTTATAAACTTTTAAAGTTAATCCCTCGAAAGTGGCATTAATAAGAAAATAAACGAGATACTCGACAAATTTATATTACAAATTGTTTTTATCCATCAAGAAGATCGATATTTTTAATGCAAAGGCTCAAAGTTTCCCCCTCATGTAAACCTAATTGTTTCGATACTAAATTTAATTGCATCGATCTCGGTCAGACCTACTGACCCAGTCAACTAATGGAACCGAAAAAGTACAGCTGTCACTTGAAACACGCAATTTTAACGCTTTAACGATTCATGAGATATTCCATAAAAAAATTACACCGAGTGAAAATATTATACAAATCGAAAGAAATTAAAAACTTCCCCAACTCGAAATTAATAATCATTAATTTACTATTTCAATGAAATACTCTTTTTTCAAAAAAAGAGATTCTCAAAAAAAAAAAAAAACTAACTCGAAACTCAAAATTCCTCTAATACACACAAGGAATCTAAAAATCCTCCACCATATTTCAATTATCGAATATCTCTCCCTTCCTCCCCCTTTATTTCCTCCCAAGAATACGTTCTTTCCAACCTCCTTTCCTCCCTCGAATTGACCTATAATTCCTACAAACAACCCCGCTCCCCGTCCATTCTTCTCGTCCCATTTATACCTGAACCGAGCAAGGAAACAGAGTAAGAACACGTTCCATGCACATGTGTGTGACGGAAGTAAAAAAAGATAGGAACTGGCGTGTGTAACGTAAAGTGTAGGTGGAAAGGAGAGAAAGAGAGGAGAGAGAGAGAGAAAAAGAGAAAGAGAAATTCGTTATTGATTCGAACTCGACACAGGTTGGGGTACCTACGTGGTGTGTATCGACGATGCATGGAATCGGGCACAAACACGGTTGGGAACGTGCCCTCGCTACGAATGATGGATGATCGCGGACGTTTGTATCGGCAAACAATCTGGAAATCCCGTTATGGAGGCGGAAGCAACAGTATCTGGTGGAATGGAGAAAGTAAAGCAGAGGTTTTTGCCAATGGGCCAGTTTTGAACGTCCGCTTGTTGGAGGGATGTTTTGTTAAGAAGAAGATTATTATTTTTCTTTGAATTGAGATCGAATTCGTTTTTTTTTTTTTTTTTTTTT